CTTTTTGAATATTTCAGAGCCCTTTGGCGTTCCTTTTGCTGCTGAGCCCGGACCGGGACGGCAGAAGCTGAGGTCTCGGTGCCATCAGTCATCGCGCCGCCGCTCCGATAGCCACCAAGAATAGGTGGCGAGTCTCCGTCGTGAAGCCGTGTCACAGAGAGTTCCTGTGAGCTAATGTGATTAATGAGTGGACTGGAAAGGGCAGCAGCAGAGACACATTCATGCAGTCGTGTAGGAAGGTAGGAAAAAAAAAACATGACAAAGACTCCTTTATTCTTTTAGTGGATAAAGATAACAGAGTACCGCCAATAAAATAATGACGCTGTCATCCCACAGAGAAAAGTAGCATTGGGGAAAAAAAATCTGTTTAATCCCAGTGTTCTGAATTTATTTTTTTTCTTTATTTGTTAATTGAGTCTTGTAGTAAAACGTCTTCTCTTTTTTCTGTTTGTAAATTGATTAGATTAGATTAGATTTTTATCCAGAAATACAGATGAATGAAACTTTTTTTCAGGGGAAACTGAGCTAAAAAATTCACAATATCTGACTAAAGTAAAATAAAACAAACAAACAAAATATTAAAACGTAAATGCAAAATTTTCAAAGGCAGTCAGTTCTGGTAAATCTGAAATAAATGTTCAGTTAGATCATCTTCAAGATAACGTGTGAGGGATTAGGCTACTATTAAAAGTTAAAATTTAAGTAAAAACGTGGTTAAAGAAGAATACATAATGGAAAAAACACATGAGAGCAAAAAGTTTCTTCTTCTTTTGCCACCAAATCTGTTTCAGAGTAAAATCGGTAGCTTAGCGCCAGTTCCTTGGTTATGAGTTTGAACCTGATAGCTTAGCAGCATGGAGGTAAAAATAACCAGTTTAAGTCCTTAAATCTGGCAAATTTTCAGTCCAATTGTATATTTTAAGTCTTCGCAAAATGTGAAAACGTAAAGTGGTGAGAGATATAGGAGCGAAAGCTTCATTAGTTTAGCTATTGATTTTTTTATTTTTTTGTTCCATCTCAGTCTCACCGAGTAAAGCTAACCTGGTAATCCGTTCTGACAAGGGTGTTTCTAATTATATTTCACCCTGAAACGGCAAACCGTCCAGCTGTGTGGTCACATGACCATGTTTATCACAAATAGCTGAGTGCCAAACAGAGCAGTTTGCTTCCTCCTGGCTTACAGCTGTCCATTCGTCAGAGAACCAGACTCTCCTGGTGTCAGCCTGGAGAGAGAACAGCTAATGCGTCACTGTCAGCTTTCAACATAATGACACATTTATCTTACAGAAGGTTTGATTCCAGGATCTCCTTTTTCTCACCTCTGGATGCTTTCTCCAAGTGCTAGCTTCCCACTGCTTATTGCCTTGAGCTTCTTCCAGGAGATTTGATTCATGCAAACTTCAGATTTGCCATTTTAGCTAATTGCAATTTCTCTTTTTAAGGCTTTCAGCTTTAGGTGGTCAAGATTATTTTTTGCAAAAGAAACACCCTGTTGTGTGTGTGTGTCTGTAAAAGAGAGAGAGAGCAGTCACAGTCAAACGAGGTTTTAGCAATTTAAAACAATAATGGTGTTATTTAAATTTTTTAGACCGTTTTATCTTAGTAACTTGGGTGACGAATGAGGCTAGACAGCAGTCTTGATGTTTACTCTCTCAAAAATGTAAACTCTTCCCTTGACTTTGGGATTTCAAAATGGCTTCCAACTTACAACATTCTCACTATCTGCTGAAGACAGCTCCTGGTCAGTTTGCACCTTCATCAATTCAACATCTGAATTTTGTCATCCGGTGGGAACCTGTAAAGGTTGGGTGGTAAGTGACTAACATTTCAAAAAGGGGCAAAATGTCGCCACCCCTGAAGTCTAGAAACAACCAACACATTTCAGCAGAAAACAGTTTTCTTTTAATGAACCTCTTACACGTTTTGTGCTTCCTGTGGTCTCATGTTAAAACCATTTCTGATGCCGGAAACAGCAAAATTGGTCTTTTTTATTCAGTAACAACATCCACACCGAAGAGTGGTGTTGTAAGTGTAGCCTGGTACTGCTACCACGTTTATAAAATAAGTGAATTTTTGAATTTCTGACAGGAAGGTCACTGGTCAGAGCTGGTTCAGAAAAAAAAAATCACTCAATTCTGGTGACCACTGGCTACTTGGTGTGTCTCTTGGTCATAATATCTTCTTTTAAAAATGTGAAATAAAGTAAACATTAACAGCACAATATTCTTAGATGGTTTCAGTGAACTGAGGCAGGTAAACACACACACACACACACACACACACACACACACACACACACACACACACACACACACAGGTACTGTAATTAAGTCCTGGTTAATTGCACCTCACCACTAACTGTCAGATGCCAGTCGAACTGCTGCCAAGTGGTGGTGTAGGAACAAACTCCATTATAACTTACCATACAATCAGTACTAATAATTTATGCTGTGTCAGAATTGAAATAGTATAAAATAGTATAAAATTTTGTCAATATATCACTATTCACACCTGTGGAGTACTTCACCTACTTCACTCCTCCGTTGCGGGTGTTAAGGAAGTTTCACTCTGCACCTGGTGTTGCAAAAAAATGCTGGTGTGACTCCGATGAGAGGTTGACATGTAAATGAGCGGCTGGATCGCAACAGAATGGCTCCAGTTTATCCGAGGAGTGACTTTGTGTAAATGGAAAGTTGGAAGTAAATGAGAAAGATCCTCAACAGAGCAAAAGACGTCGGCTATGATTAAGTCATTTAGGACTTATTTATGTTGACTTGGTTTGCAGGGCGGCCTGGACCTGTTAGAGTATTTTGTGGAGCTTCAGCAGCAGTTGAGATGACTTCATGAAAAACTTTATAAATCTCTTCATGACTGTGAAAACAACAGCCATTCACTGGGTCTCACCAGCATTTGAATGGTTTCTGTCTGGGAGGGAAGCTTAGGTCAGTAGAGGAGGGGATGGGCTGAGGATCGGAGATGCACTGCGTTGAGAACCAGCTATCAGGGTTGATTGTCTCCAATTAATTGCTTGTCTGGGTGGCTGCTCTCCAGGGTAAAGCACATCCTGTTTCTGCAGCTGACATTATTACCTGACAGCTTACACACAGTGAGTTTCCCTGCCAGGAGTCTGTTTGAAGTGTCTGTTGTTGAGCGTGAAACAGGAGCTCACTCAGTCATGGTGTACAAACGTGAATTATCGTAAAAGATCCCAGAATGATTCTAATGTTAGAGCTTAAAGGCGTGTGTTCTGATCTACCCTGTTAAACCCCCATATCATGGAGGCTCATACCCTCTATCTAACCGCACTATTGAGGAGGAAGTGGAGGAGGAGCACCCCAAGCACCCCAAACTTGCGGTGTGGGCACCGGCAATCCACAATGGGCAGGAATCAGAAAGATCAAGGAGGGGAAGAGTGCAGTGCGATCACAGTAAGTCGGACCCCCACACGTTTTGTGAACACGTTTTGGCGTGTCCGTGTGTCCTCGTCTGACCAGAACACCTTCTTTCACATCTACATATCTTAAGGCGTACTGAAAATTGAACTTCTTACGACTTTCTTTCTTGCCACTGTTCCACAAACGATTTGTGGAGTTCACAACCAATATTGTCCTCAACATTCAACTTTGTCTGTCGTGTTGTGGTCCTTTCCTAGTGACGAGCTTGAGGTTGGCCTCTTTCAGCTGCTGTTCTTGAATTCATTCAAGGACCATTTGTCTCATCTAGTTACAGTCTTTCTCTCACCAGGCACCTCAGCTGAGAGTCCTTCTGGACTGCTGTGGCCTCCTGGCCCTCCACCCAACCTCTGCTGATGGCCACTTTGGTTTCCTAAGCTTTGGCATTAGAATCTACCGTCTCTGTGCTTCTTAAACTCTGTGTTCTGCTAGATGTAGTTTGCTTTTCTGAAATATGTGCCTTGTTCAAGTGACGTCCCCCATGTGTTTTTGTCCATTTTCTGTAAGTTTTACCTTATTTTGAAGGTAAATCATGAAAATTAGGAGGCTGTATTTCTTTATTGTGGTAGACCTGGATCCAAGTCCCTCCAGAGTAAACATGGATCTCTTTCCAGCTGCAACTTTAACCCTGACATGTTTCTTGATCTGATGTGTTTCTTGATCTTCTTGACGCTGCTCGTTCATTGATTTTCTCTAAACTTTTGAGGGTCGGATTTTTATCTGAAAACAAAAATGTGAAAAATCATTTATTAGCTGCTTTACGCTTAATTATGACATAATACTTTTAGTTAGCGTGTTGACGTTTTGTAGTTGTAAAGAGATAAAATGCGTAAAAGTTCAAAGTGTATTAATACCATCCAGAATCGCAGCATCTCTCTTTACAGTCTATATCACAAAAGCTTCCAGTTTAACATCGTGTTGTTTTTGCTAAACATTTATGGGAAACACAATAACCTCTGTCCCACAATCCTTGGGCCTTTTCGCCTTTGTGCAAAAGCCTTTTGACTTTCTTTGCTCTGACCTTTTTTTCCTTGTAGAAAACTGAAATCCGCAGCTAGGATAGGAAAATGTCACCTCAATAGCATCCATTCTTTGTGTATTGTTTTTTCCCCCCTGAAATACTCCTTTTAAAGACAATAAAACAAAAAAAAAACTAAGGCACAGCTTTGATTGCCACAGAGACGGAAACTAAAGAAAGAAGGCCAAATGAAAGCACTTGGAATGAGAGTCGGGTCTTAATGGGATAAGGACTAAAAAAGTGTAGCTCTGGGCTCAACTCACTGGGGAATAATCGATGCATAATTGTCTCTTTCAAGCGAACACTGATGGAGGTGTTTCATCACAGCAGCACAGCAGTTTGCGATGAAGTCTAATGTGTGATCATTACGCCCTGAGGGCCTCTTCACTCTGTCTTCAGAGGCTCCTGAACAGCAAAGTGTCTTTAATTCAGAACCATTTTTAGTCTTCACTTTAATTCATAGAAGCAGGTGGAGCAACATGAGCAATTTGATGAGTAAAATATATGTTATTTTTCTTCTTCTTCTTCAGTGAAACCGACTATCATAGATGTGGATATATTTGTGAACAGCATCGGACCGGTGTCTTCAATCAACATGGTAAGTCCAACTTCACTAGTAGCTTGTGGTTTGCTGGAGGTTTCAATGGAAGAATGGGATGCTGTGGGCCAATTTGGTCATTTATTCAAATATATTTCAGCAAAATTTTTACAGCATGTAGAAATAAAGAAAGCTTTCCATTCAATATAAAATAATCTTAATCTCCAGGAGAGATTCACAAAAATCTGAATCGTAGTTATGATCCCAATACAATACAACTCAGCAATCGATACACAGGGTTAGATCAGAGCAAACCAAAATTGTTCCTGTTTGCTAAATGCCACAATAATGAGAGAGAGAATAAGTCAGACATTGACTGTTGTGTCTTAAAATTTTAGGATTTTTATGATCCACACCAAATTGTGCAGGAATTTTCTTTTATTTTGCAAAATAAAATCTGAGAAACTTGCCATGCTTTTCATATTTCAAAACTGTTTTGGATTTCTTTGTTAGTTACTGCTTTTCTTAGTGCGTCTACTACAATATTGTTTTACACCAGCTGTCATTATTATTTTTGAAAAAATGTAGAGGTTGATTTTGGTGATATGTGTAACTAAATGGATTCATAAGATAATTTACCTTATGAATCCTATTACATTTCTAATATTCTAGTCTGCTTTGCATCTACAAATTATGATGAGCGGTGTGATTAGGTTTATAAGCAGTTAGTGTTTGCAGCGACACTAACGTGCCTGTAGATTACTGAAAGAGCCTGCGTGCTTAAAACATATTTAGTAGTACTACATAGAGCAACCTTTTAATTTGAGCCCTATTTTAAGCTCCTTTGTTGCACATGAGTTCACTTACAGTAATCTCTGTTGTCATTCTTGCACTGTTTTTAATTGCAATGCGCCGCATAATTCAGGGTGTCATGACTCCATGGGCCAACAGATGGTGATTCATTCCTTTCTGCACAGATTCACCACAAGTCGAAGTAGATGGTTTTCACATTCAAAGGGCTTTCAATAAGAGACTTATTATGTTCAGGTATGAGGAAAAATCCCAAATGAAATGAGAATTGTAATGGTTATTAGCAAATGTTATTAGTCTGTCTGAAGTGCTTTGGAGGGGTACAGTTAAAGAGACAAATGCAGCAACTTTTCATAATAAATTACTGCCGTCCATCCATCTACCCATCCAGCCTTATGTTTGTTCAGCTCAGTGTCAGGCTCTCTTGTTTGCCCCAGATTTCTAGTCAGATGTCATTGCTCTTCCTGTGTCCTCACTTCCTTTATTCCTTATTTTTGGTATGTTTTTAGAATTTATTTTTGTTTTAAAGGGGCAGTATTGTGTCAAATTGACCATTATGAGCTTTACGTCATGTTATAATGTTATTCCCTTATCAAATGCATACCTGGAGTTTTGCTTTGATTTTTTTTTTCATACATGCTTGAGAAATCTTTTAATCTCCAATGGCAACTATTCAGACGCCCTGAGTGGACCTTGCCCCTCCTTCGAGGCGCAGCTCCTCCTCAGAGTTGCAGTTTTTAAGATTCCTCCTCACAGAGCAGCCCTCCATGGCGACTCCCTCACCCAGCTCCTCTAGACTAGCCAGTAGCAATTAGCAAACACCTGGTAGAACAGCGCATCTCAGTGCAACGATGGTGAAAACGTTAAAGAGGAGCCATGTTGTGAAGACTTCCTGAAGTGGAGTTTCAGAAAGAGGAGGAGTTCTTAAAGAAGCAGAAGCCCAATTTCAAGACATTAAATTACATTTCTTTTAAGTCATATTTGATATATAAAATTTTTATAGCAACTAACAGTAACAGAGTTACTTTATTGTGCTATAAAATGGCACCACGTGTCTAGGACACACATGGTACTTTCCCTTTAAGAGATTTCTCTCAGTTCAGCTCTTCTTGCTTGCTGCTTGTTTCCTGCCCTCCTCGCTGTATTTGGAACTTCTTCGTATCCAAAATTAAGACTCAACGTAACACTCTTCTACAAAGTGGGACTTTCTCCAAGTTGTCTGTAAAGTAGCTGAGTAGGATGTTTCCTGGTTTTGTAGAGCAAAAGCTGGAGCTCATAAATTGCCTGTCAGAGGGAAGCAAGCGTCATGTCCCCACTGTTAGCTGTAAAACTGTAAACAATAATTAAAGCACCAGAACTTCATGGCATAGGGCAAATACACAGAGAGACTCTTGTTTTGTTTTGCAAGAACATGGTTTTTAATGTCACTTATAGTTTTCTATAAATACTCGACATTCTGTGCATCCACATAGGCGGCTGTTGCAGTTGGTGTCGGCAAATTTTTGCACAACTTCATATCAAAACCTGTATGAGTGGTTGATAAAGGTGTATCCATGTTTAGAGATAACACCACAGCCACAATATTACATTTATTCTATAGGGATTTTATGTGACAGACCATCAATAGGTCTTGTATAATTGTGAAGTTGAAGGAAAATGATTCAGGGTTTTATTTTTTTTATTTCATAAATAAATATCTGGACATGTCAGCAACAGCTTTCTTCTTACCACTCTATTTACTGATTCTCTGATCTTTCCCTGCCAACTTGTCTTCTCTTAATTATTTTACAAGGATTAATTCATTAAGTTGGTGTCCAACTGTTTACATTTTTTTAAATGCAAACATTTAAAAATAAACTTAAATAGGTAATGCTATGCCTGGTGGGGGAACAAGTAAAGCCTGGTGGCCCGCCAGGCTGATAATGCACTGGGCGAAACCCTGAATTATGAAACAAACATTAGACACAACGTTTTGTCAAATGCCATCATCAAAATCTTTAAGCAAACATAGATCAAATATGTTGGTCAATGTTAAGAACATATTGATCAAAGGTTTCAGCAGTTTTGCAGTTTTCTGGAAGTTTGTTCCAGATTTGCTGTGCATAGAAGCTGAATGCTGCACAAAGTAAAGTTGAGCAGGTATAGCGTTCTTACAGGGTGGGGATTTGCCTTGCTTCCTGTTTTAACTCGGCTAAAACAGGAAGTTTGTTCTGTTTTTATTTCTCTGACCTTTCAGATGTGAATCGTCGTATCACAAAGCTACAGTTAACAGGCTACAAACAGATGAGGTCTCACCAAACATTTGACTACTGTGTGTTCATCCTCCACAATTTTACCTTTTTCTTCCAGTTTCAGTCTTCAATTATTTTAAAACCAAAACATGTTTCTAAGCACTTCACTTCCAACCTTTGCAGAACTCTAGTGCTCCGATCCGTTGGTCCCACCATGTGAATCCCTCTTCTCATCCTCTCTTACATTCTAACCTTTTGGGGCTCAAGGAGAGACTCGGATTCAGCAAAGGAGCATGACAAGATTTCCCAAAGGACGGCACATATACAGTATGCACTGTGTCCCCACATCTCCCTGCATAATCAGTGTGGCAGCTCACTGCAGAGGAGATGTACGCTCTGCCCCACTTACAGAACAGAACCTGGTGCAGGGCAAAGAGCTCCATGTGAAACAAAAACACAACAAAATAAACTATTTTATAGTGTAGATTTTACATTAAATTTGATTTAAAAAAATAATTCCCTTGATTTTTGTTGTCTATTTTTCAGAATGTGAAATTGCACTTTCTCTATTTATTGTTTACAAAACAATTTGAAAAAGCTACAAATAAACCAACAAAAGATTCTCTGTGGTGCACAACTTGTCTGAGTTCTTAGATAATAAATATATGAGATTATATGAAAATGTAATCTGACATTTTCTAGAATGTCTCCACTATATATTCAAATCACAGGTGTGAACATTTGTGTCTGTTTTTTTCTTAGATGTTTAAGATGTTAATTTTGATAGACAAAGCTAAAAACTAGCTTTGTCTAAAAAACAGTTTTCGAAAGGTGATATCATTTATCACAGGGAACAAATCTGCCCATCCCCATTGTTAAATCATAAAATAACCATGATTAACCAGTTTTTGGTTCAATTTTACAAGCCACTCTAACTCCTGATCAATGCCCAGTAGTTAAAATCAGGAAATCAATTAAATAGACACTTTCTGGCAAGTTGAGGTGGGTTAAAAGAAAAATAAATATATCTAAAAGGAAATTCAAGAACAGATTAGAAATAAAGTCAATAACCTGTGTTCAGTCTAGATGGTTAAAAAACTAATTCCAAGGGTTTGTTACAGCCAGAGACATTATCCACAAATACAGAAAACATGGAAAAGTGGCGAACGCCAAGGAATGAATGAAGGTTTTATGTAAAATTGCCTTTTTTTTTAAATCATGTTATAATGTTATGTTAAAACCTGGACTGTTTGTTGCTTTGTTTCTTTCATCCATGTCTGTTGGCAACCATTTTAGGGAGCCAAACGTCTGCTCATACAAAGCACCGCCGTTTTACTCAAAGCTCCTCCGTGGACCTTCAGTCTCCAGCTGAACTTCTGCGTCACAGAGCAGGCCTCTCCTGCAACTCCCCCACTCGACCCCTTCAGACTAGCCAGCAGCAATTAGAAAACACCTGGTGGAACTGAGCATCTGAGCTCTTCAGACGCCCTACTTTTCGGTCCAAAGCTCCTGAGAACGTTTGTAAACAGCATAATGGAAGGCGGAGCTTCTTAAAGAGACAGAGGCCCAATTTCAAGGCATTAAATTGGAAAGTCAAATTTCTTTTGAGTCAGATATGACGTATAATAATTTTTATATCAACTGAAGGTAACAGAGTTACTTGACTGTGCTTTAATATAGCATTATGTGGCTGGAAAACACACAATACTCTCCATTTATGTCATGAAGGGGGAGGTTGCGATGCGGATGAAACGTGGTCAGACCCAGGGTAGAGTGAGACGATGTGTGATGTATTTTTTCTCTTTAAATCTGAAATGTCCTTAAGAAGGAGTTACTTGTTTTAGTGGACTAGTCTGTCAGCAGATTTCATGTCTGCTCGTTTGCCTCATAAACCCTGAGTTTTCCAGTTGCCCCCCCAGCAGCGTCGTCCTCCGTCTGGACGGTCTCCCCCCCACACTGCTCCACAACTTGACTGCATTTTCCAGCCATTGTTTTTTTTTTATCCATCTTCTACTCAATTTAAGCAATGGATAAAACTCTTAAAATTCTTCTTACATCAAAGTCCACATGAAGCTATGAGCAGCAGATTTTCTCTCCTGATTGATTCTCCCATCTGGTCACATGATTCCAGCTGTAATGGCAGATATATGTCCCCATTAGCCTAAAACTTCTAACTGTGACTCCACTTAGCAGTCAGACTGACAGGAGGAAATGATAGATTTAGATACTTTACCTTAGATATGTTATTTTTATAAGCTACGTCAGTAGAGAATCGACAGAAAATTGGGGCAGTGAAAGAGGAAGCAACAGATTGGGTTTTAACGTACTGTCTCTATCGGGTGCTTTGTATGCGATTAAACACCTAAACTTTTCTTATCAATACAAAAGTCTGACTTGATGTTTTTGTTGAGCTTTAGAAGAGATTGAAAAATTATAATAAAGGCTTCTTTAAAAAGTCGTGATTGTCAATAGAGAGCATTGTTGCGAAGCAGGTGGCCATTTTAACTTAATTTGATGTGAGTGATTGACCGTAACGTTGCTACAACATGCTACAACAAATTTGCCAACATATTTGGATGAGAGGAGTCGATGTGGTAAAGCTTCCTTGATGTCAGCTGTTTGACAAATAGATGTAAATACAGCACTATTAGACGTTCAAACCTAGAACTTATGGAAGAACAACAAAAAATCTTCAGTAGGTCAAATCAGACTGAGAGCAGTTACTTTGACCGTCCAGTTCATTGCAACAGGAGTTGACTCAGATTTTAACAACTTTTTATACCTGCTTACTGTTTGTAAGATGTCATGACAAAAAAAACTGGAATCGGACAATCGATTGATGTCTGCTGTCTGCATAGAGCTCGTAACTGATCACTTCAATGTTTCAAATCACTAATCAAATTTTCACATTGAATAGAGTAAATACAAAAAGTTGTTTTTTTATAATTGTAATTTAATTTATTCAGAGGGAGAAAACCCTGTGTTAAAATGTAATGACCCCACAAACCTGTAACTACTTTTGTCACCCTTAGCAACAGCAACTGTCATCAATCACTTTCAATAACAGTCCATAAGTCTTTTATATGGTATATGGTCCACCTATTTGCATAATTAGTTCTTTCCAGCCTCATTAGAGAGTTTTTATCCAAACAGCTCCAGGTTGTGCTCTTGCTATAAAACACCTTGGTGATCTTGGGGGGTCATCAGGATGTTTTATAGCAAACGTGAGGCAAGATTTTGAGTCCTGTTTGATTACTAGCGGGGGGTTTTTTCCTTGTGATTCTCCCATTTTTTCCCCATTGTCTCTTTCCTATTATTGAATTATGAAGTCTGACTCTGAGCTAAGTGAGGCCTGCTGTGCTTTAGATGATGTTTTTATTTGTGGCCCCCTGGTTGAGTCGTTGCTGTGCTCTAGAAGTATTTTTGGTAGATCACTCATGGGAGGCTCTCCACTGCTCCATGTTTTCTCTAGTTGTAGATAACGGCTCTCGCTGTGGAGTCCTAAAGCTTTAGAAGTGGTTTTGTAATCTGTTTAAGACTGGCAGATGCAAATTACTTTACTGCTTGAATTTCTTTTGATCATTTTGAGATATTTTAGCCTACTTCGTGTTGTCCCACAGGTTCTATTTAAATGATTTCCTGACTTTAGAGGTGTGAAAGTAATTAGGGCTGGTGCTTTACTGGTGGAATTTAATCAAAACTTGATTAATCACAGTTATTACATAATTTATCAAAGAGGGTGTTTCACATATTTGGTCAAATTGGTTTTAGTAGCTTTTCCCCCACAATCAATGTCAGTGATCATTTAAAATCTCTGGGTATCTGATATTAATATTTGTTTGATGTGAACCTTGTGTGTGTTGTTTAATGTTTAACAGTAGCTTTGCTTTTCGAAGGTAGTCAAAATAGTTACAATAACAACCCAATGCTCCAAATGACATCCAACTTTTGTGCTACACGAAACCAATACCAGAAAATTGCTAATGTTTTAGAAAACATAGATAATGTAAGCCTAACACATTGTCCCAGTGCTGAAAATACACAGATATAGTTTTCTTGCTGTGTTAGCCACTGTTGGTGTTGTTTGGCATTGTGACCAGCTGACTTACAAACACGAACTGGACGCTGCACAAATCCTCACACTTGCTTGAATTTAGGTTAGACTGATGTTTACATATATTCCATTTTGAAGTGTGTCTGAGAACGAGTTTAACAATAACATGCCTGTGAATTTACAGTATCAGATTATTTGTAGCTCAGATGTGCGAAATGTACGAATCTATGGCTATTGTGTAGAACTCTACATTTGTTGTTTTGACCAATTTAATCCATGTCTCTATTATTTGGGTCAAATCCCTCCTTTTGTTAGCATAAATCAGTCGTTTTCTTTAAATCATGTATCCTTTTGTTTTCCACAGGAGGATCTTTCGGTTTAGCAGAACCTCTACATCAGCAGACTTTACAGAAACATTCTCCATAATAATTGAAAGTGAACAGTTGAAATTATTTACAGCAATGCCTCCTATACAGACTAGAATCAGCACAAGGAAGGGCAGTAAAGGATCATAATGCTTCATAATGAAAACACCTTCTAATGTGAAATTAATTACGCAGCTTTGCAAAAAAAACAACAACAAATGCCTTAGATAAGATTTACTTGTCAGAGTCGATACAGTCACCTCAAATTATTTTTAAATGAGTTTATCTGCAACACTTTTATTTCACAGCCATAAAATTCTTACATTTTTTTCCCCCCCTAAGTGCGAAACAATTAAAGGTCATGACCCACACGCCGGGCTCAGTGAATGTAGACTTTATTCTAATTGGTGAGCCATTCCAGCTACTGTGCATAAGGTCAAAACATTTCAGGCGGTGGCAGCTGAATTCAAATGTGTGGGCAGGAAGGAGAGAGGAAGACATCATTATTTTAATTATGCTGTACATCCTTCTGTGAATTGTTGCCAGAAATGACCCAAGCTACTCAACTGTTGCTAAGGCTGCGTCGGGTGTTTTTCTGCCACGGCTAGCAGCTGCTCCACTTAGCTCCACTTAGCCCAGTAACATGCCATGACCTACAGGATTCCCATCCATGTTTTCGAATCCCAATGAAGTTAAATCGTGTTTAAAGTTATGAAAATATGGGTGAATGCACAAATGTATATTTACTAGGGATGTAACGACACAGCAAGCTAAGAATATCTGCTCAGTGTAAAATGTTCAAAGTCATGTTTCCTCATCATTTTTACAGATTATATTCTTAAGACAAAAAAAATAATTTCTTAGATTTTTTAAATGATCAAATGCCTCCAAAAGAGTGAAAAAATGTTTTGTTTTAGGCTGAAAGCTACGGAGAAGATGCTAATTTTGGTATCATTAGCATACCAAATTAGCTAGCAGCTAGCAAGTTGTGGTATTTCTGCTGTGTTTACAACTTGTTTCTATCTTTTTTTTAATCTCTTCTTCACCCTGTTTTTTATTTAAGAAAAAAAAATGATTACCTTAAAGAAACCCTTATCAGATGAAGCATGGCGATGGCAGACACTCCTCTTGGGGATGGGGAAGTTGGTGAAAGTCGATATGAAGATTGATGGATCTAAATACTATCCTGGATGAAAACTTGATGGACAGTGCAAAACACTTGGGCAGAAATTATTATTATTATTATTATTATTATTATTATTATTATTATTATTATTATTATTATTTATTTATTTATTTATTTATTTATTTATTTATTTATTTTTATCTAGCAGGACAAAGATCATACAGCCGGAGCTACAATGGAGTTGTTCAGAATAGAACATATTCATATGTTGGCACAAAAAATTAGCAATCACTTGGTTGCTCCATCCAATCTGACTGAGTTTTGAAAAAAAAAAAAACAGGCAACATTTTCTGTCTCCAGCTGAACAAAGTCAGCAAAGAATTACCTGAAAGGCCTTACAGTGAAATCATATTTCCAGAAACTTTTAACTCTGAGGTCTGATTACAAACACCATGCTTCTCAAATTATTTATTGTTTTCTTACCCACTATTTTGTGTTGATCTGTCAAATACAATTCCAGCAAAGTACATTGAAGTTTGTTGTTGTAAAAAAAAAAAAAAAACTAAGTTGAAGAGTTATGAATACCTTTGCAAGGCTCTGGGTCACATCAATCATAAGTCATGCACTCTTTTTACAATCTCCTGGGCTAAGAGACAAATCTAGCATGAATGATTAATTGTGGCGTGTTTCTCACATTTTATTTTCTCTTTTGTTCAACCTTTTTCATTTCTGTCAGCAAAAGCAAAAAAACAAACCGGGACTTAAAAGATCCCTAGACCTGGAGAGGCTACACTTAGCATAGAAACGAATGAGCTGACAGAAAGAGCAACCAACAAGGAAAATGATAAACACTTCGACCAGTCAAAGCTGAGATTGATGGATCGCATAGAGAAATATTTCTCAAACACACAATACTATAATTGGAAGGTAGCTTGTGTTCTGTGTCGCTAAGACAAAGCATTTAAGAAGTTTTTCAATGGAAGATTTTTATGTGCTCCTTTCCGCTTCTTTTTTTGACAGGAGTACCAAATTGACATCATCTTCGCCCAGACGTGGACAGACAGCCGCCTCAGATACAACAGCACAATGAAAATACTGACCTTGAACAGCAACATGGTTGGACTCATTTGGCTGCCGGACACCATCTTTAGAAACTCCAAGACCGCAGACTCCCATTGGATCACAATGCCGAACCAGCTGCTCAGGATATGGAACGACGGAAAAATACTTTACACCTTAAGGTAATGACAGTAATCTGGCCGGAAAAAAAAAAAAAGTATTGCTGTGTTATACAGAAAGAAAATGATTGGTGAAATCAAACTCTTGAGTCTGAAACTGAACTTTAGTGCTTATAAAGCATTTCTGAACATTTAATAATTTATCACAATTTTTGTGGAGATGGACGGGCAGATTCGGATTGATGAGTGATTCGAGCTCCTTTGGCAGCAGGTAAAGCTTTGAGTCGTATTGGGGAAAGCTTGACGCCGGTCTGTTTTGATGCTCAAGCCGTTGTTTATGTCAAATCGTCAGATAGGACTGAAAGCATCTGAGCTGCCGTCCTCAGATATCATCAGGTGACGCTTTAATGGATTTCATTTGACGGGCTGTGTAAGGAAATATTCTGTTGTTGACTTGGCTGCTTACCTCGTAGTTTTCCTCAAGATAAACGTCCACTGGCAGAATGAGGAAGACTTCGACGAGGAAATATTTGCTCCTGGTTGTTTTTTTTCTCTGTTGAAAACTTTGGTATTGAAAGATTGAATCGCACGGCTACCTCTAGACAAGTCAAGAGGGGGAGAAAGTGGTTTCTACTCCAGGCATGAATTTGTGTTTATTTCCACCTGCTTGATAGTTTGTGGTTGACATGGGTTTTGTTTTTTCCAACATTGTATCTTATCTCTACAAGTAACATCTGGACATGTGAGATGTGAGCCCTTTCTCTGTAAAGTAGCTTTAAAATAGCAGGTGTGTGAAGATGGGAAGACTTTCTCCCCAGAAAGCTAACTGTTAGCCATCTTGTTAGCATTATATGGACTTTCTCTGGGATGATGATCACCAAGTTCAGATTTCTGCTCAGAGATGAAGGCTTTGAACTGATAGTCCAGAAAAAAAAAGAAAACATACGCTTTGTTTATTTCCTGCCTACACTGTGTGTCTACCATCTTCTGCTCTTTAAGTCAAATGACTTTAGCAAGTTTTACATTTTAAACCTAAATGTCTGAGTTTGTGAAAGATAAACTTACAGTAGTAAGTTGTCTTAACTTGTTATCAATTTTGTCAAACCTCCAAGAGTTGAATAAACTAGAGTTTTTAAGTTAGCACTTAAAAAAAAAAAAAAAAAAAAAAAAAAAACAGGAGTGGAAACTATTACCCAGAGTCCTTAGTGGCATGTTTTTGTATCCTGAGATGGAAGTGCGTTACATGTATCTGACTCTTGTGGTTTTAGGGAAAATGTTAATGTTTTAAATGTCCTGTTCACACTAAATGTTTCTGAGTATAATTTATTGTGATATTTAATAAAATTCAATATCAAATCAGAAATGTTGTTCATACAACTTAAAAAAAGAATTTACATTACCCTAAGGTGAAATAAGTAATTATTGGATATTTTTGCTTATTTTAATTGTACGCTGTTCTTTAAATATCCTGTGAGTAAATATATTTGCTCATAACAACTGGAACTTTCAATATCTACCAAGCTATTTTCATAATTTACTGAAAATAGCTTAAAAGAGTCGCCCCTCAGATTAATTACCGTAGTAACCTGATATCAGCTGGAAAGCACAACGGCTCCCCTTTCAGAAACCGTTGGAATTTTTCAGATAGCTCAACGTGTGGTGGGATTACGGTACTGCAAATTCGGCTCTGTCGTCGGCGCTCCTTTCGGTCAGTTTTGCAGTTTTCTGGAAGTTTGTTCCAGATTTGTGGTGCATAGAAGCTGAATGCTGCTTCTGGTTCTGTGGGTGCAGAACCAGAAGCAGAAGACCTGAAGACCTGAGAGGTCTGGAGGGTTGACACAACACCAGCAGATCATTTATTGCAATTTACATATTTTGATTCTAACTGAATCCATCCTCAGCCTGATTGATCTGAGAACACATTTCACACATTTATTCTTTGAAAGGAAGGATTTCACTAACATAGCAGGAAGCTTTTCTGATGTTTTCACTGATAAGTTGTACGGGTGACAAATGACAAGTTATTGTTGCTAAATTTGCATAAAACTGCAGATGTGAGACCAGTGATGTTGTCTGACTTAGAGACGGTGGCAGAGACGAGAGGCAGAAATAAGCGGAGGCTGCAGATTTCAGGACGTTCAGGTTCTCTTTGGGAGCGACGTGGATGTAACGGATAAGGTTGGGGAACGAGTTCATCAGAGGGACAGCTCATGTCCAATGTTTTGGAGATAAAGTCAGAGAGGCCAGAGTAAGATGGTTTGGGCATGTTCAGAGGACAGACTGTGATTACATCAGCAGAAGGATGCTGAGGTTGGAGAAGGCAAGAAGAAGACCAGAGAGGAGATTTACAGATGTAGTGAAAGAGAAGATAAAGGCAGATGGAGTGAGGGTAAAGGATGCAGAGGAAGAGACTAAATGGAGACGGATGATTTGCTGTGGCGACCCCCGAAAGGAAAAGCAGAAAAAGAAGTAGAAGAAGAAACTTATTTTAAACAACTCCTATGTGTCCTTCCCTAGGCTTTACATTTGCTGCTTTTATCCAGCATCCTTTCTAACAAAGTGGAGAAAGCCACATCAGGGAAATACGCCTCATGCTTGAGAATCTACTTACTTCCTTTCATGCTGTCCATTTTGATTCTGGTTGTGTTTGATGTGAGAGGAGGCAGGCTGCTGTCATGATCATAAGGAGGTCCAGACAATCTGGACTAAATGCAACCTCACCTGATTTAGAGAAATCTGATCTTCTGACTAAATTGGTTACATTTTTGTGACATTATCAGTTCATTTCTGTTAATACTTCTCATCCAAAAAAAGGTTTTAGGAGAAAAACTTTTTTTTTCTAACAGAGTGTATTTAAATGTTACAAACTTGGATTTCTGTAAATGGAATAATAAACCCTGATAAGTGAAAGTACATGTAAATTGAACAGCACGTCTTCATTGTGTAAAATCCTCCGTCTCCTTTCTGTCCTGATGGAGTCTCTCCTCCTGCTCATTACTCATTGATCCTCAGGAAATCGATCCAGATGTGACAATAGGTCATGCATTTTGATGCTCATGTTGCTCCATAGCTCAGAAAGTTAACCTGATTGACCAAAACCAATGTGACTTTTGGATCCACCACATCAAAATGACCCTGAAACATGACAGAGAATTTTTTTGGCTGCTGACCAGTGTAATGGAAGGTCAGTAGCATGCTAGCTTTATGTTACTTTATGCCACAAACTGTGTTTTTAGAGAATAATGTCTGATACTTCCTGTCTGTTTTAGAAGCAAATCATGCCAATGATTGTTTGCACTTTGTTGCCACCACACATTCTCAGTTTTTATCATTTTGTCATAAATTGTTTTCCATAATTTTTATTGTCCAGTGTTTTATTTTGTGTCCTTGTTTCACTCAAAATTAAGGGAATATGAATGATAGAAAAAAATGTCTTTCAACCAAGGTTATTTGATTGGGGTTACAAATGACTCTAACCAAAGGTTTACATGTTCTGGAAGTTTTTCCGTATAAAATGCAAAATGGATAAATATGGACTTAAATGGCCACCATGGCAACCATGTTTATTCATTCAAAATTTTTGTTGTTTGTTTTGTCTTTATGCCATTATCAAGAAAGGTTTCTAATGAACTGAGGTTCTGCTTTCCCTGTTGTTGTTTTTTTCAGGTTAACTATAAATGCTGAGTGCCAGCTGCAGCTGCACAACTTTCCAATGGATGAACACTCGTGCCCGCTCATCTTCTCCAGCTGTGAGTAACACCTTGTTAGGTGGCGCTTTAATAAATCCTTAACGTCTTAATTTACAGCTGCAAGGACTCAGTACACTTTAAAACCATCGGTGTGTTATACAGACTGCATGTCAATATCTAGATTGCTTAAATAATAATGGCTTAAATCAGTTTTTGCAAAAAGTGTTTTGTTGTTGTTGTTGCCTAAATCATCTTTGAACAAGAAAGACCTGGTGACTTCTTTTTTTTTTGTTTTTTTTTGCCAAAATAACTTTTGGCAAAAAAAAAAAGACTAAGGCCATTATTTTAGTGAGGTGACAATATTCTTTCTAAACTTTGATATTTTGCTATTTTTAACTAAATATCACTATACTTGACATGACTTTTTGTATGACAAAAACAGCAGAAAGTGTGCATGTGTTGTGTCTATACAAACTAGCAGGCTTTCATAAAAATCGTCCCCACTTCTCTGAAGGAGCAGTATTCTGTGAAATTGATTTTTTTTTAGCTTTACATCATGTTATAATGTCATTCCCTCATCCAAAACACACCAGGAGTGTTGCCTTGATTATTTCATGGATGTTTGAGAAATCTACCATGGCAACCATTCAGCTGTACAAAACGCCTGATCGGACCTTGTGACGCTTTCAAGACGAAACTCCTCCTCGAAGCGGCCGTTTCCCAGCTATTGAGCTTTTGCCTCACAGAGCAGGCCTTACTCAGCTCCTTCAGACTAGCCAGCAGCAATTAGCAAACACCTGCTGGAACTGAGCATCTGCTGAGTCCATTATAGGAGCCACTTCACAAAGCAACACGGGTAAAAAAAAAAAAACGTTATTAAAGAGCTAATAGAGGAGCCATGTTGTGATGACTTCCTGAAGGCGGAGTTTCAGAAAGAGAAGGAGCTTTTAAGAAGCAGAGGCACCGATTTTAAGATGTTTAATTAGGAAGTCAAATTTCTTTTAAGTAATATTCAATATGTAACCTTTTTATAACCACTGTTACTTGATTTTTCTATAAAATGGCACTATGTGCCTGGAAAAGACATAATACCGCATCTTTAAATCTTCCAGAGAACAGATGCTTTCACCCACCTGGCAGAATAAGATGGATCACTGTGCTGCCAGCCCTATGGAGATCCAAATGCCGCGCTCAGCCACTACTGTTCATTTGTCAAAAGCAGCACAGGAGGTGCTTTATCTGCAAGCCGTCACTGGGAGATTTTATGAATGCTCGGATAACATATATAGCATTTATTGATCTATAACCCTAAAGGAAATATGTATTTAACTAAACACAAAGTGGATTTAGATTCAGGATCACTGAATTATATTATAGTACAATAATACAACAAGCAACTTTAATGGTTTTCAAAAACAGAATTGAATTTGAGGTTATTTTATTGTGTGTATGCATCATTTTGACCATTATATATATATATATATATATACACACACACACACACACACACACACACACACACACACCGGTACATAATATATGTATAATCAGGATTGGTAGTGTTCATCTCATTTGGCTGCTTCCCTGAATTCATAATGAATAAAGCAGGACTACATTAAAATTCTGGAATTGCCTTTTCAACCCCTTTTTCAAAATTTATGGGTCATGATGAAAAGCCGAATCTGTGGCAGGAAACCAACCAATTTAAATCAAACCATTTTGGACACAAAGGCCGGTAAAATATCAGCCAGGATTATGCCTGGATCTTGTTAATGGCTTCAAAAAAATGCAGTGAATCTTCTAACTCTAAGAAATCTTTGAGCTAGAAAGTTGTGGATTTGATTCCAGCATCAGCAATCTGAATAACGTGTTCATACATGGTAATGATGATTATTATCATCATTAGATATCATTGCATATTTGTTAGACTCAGAAATAATTTCTAAATAACAAATAGCAAGAACTTCCTACAATATCCCATGTGTAAATTTTCAGGTTTCTGGAGACATTTTTCACCATCTTGTTTTCTGCTTTCAGACTGAACTTGCTTGTACAGAAAGACTTGGAATTTTTTTTTTCTTTTTTATCTTTTCACTTGTCTGAAGATTTACTTTTTTTGTTTTTTATAAGAATACAAAATGTAATTCTAAAAATATCCCTTAAGTTCTTAATATTTATTTATATCACCTAAATTTCTGAGAAATAATTAAATATCCACATTTAAATGCATCATAAAAACCCAGACTTTGATGCAGTGTCCTTACTGTGTGCTCTGTGATTGTGTCTCATTCTCCGTCCACCGCTGTCGCCTTCTGTGACATGATTGTTTACTTCCTGTGTTTTGCTGCTCAGCTTCTTAAAGGCTCTCCCGTCCATCTGACGGCGATCTCAGCGCTGCTTTGAAGAAAGGAGTGCGGGGCTGAAAATGAGGCGTGAGGTGTGGATAATGTGTCATCTTGTGGCATCAGAGAGCCATTCGGTGTGATTGCGCCCCATGAAGCCTATTAGGGCTTAAAATGTACTTGCTGGACTGCCTCGTCTGTGGAAACATCCCGCTGAGATCCATTAGACGCATTTCCTTACCCGAAGATCAGTCCGCACGTTTCCATGGCGATGTCTCTCTTCTCGTTTGGAAAAAGTTTTATTTATTTTTGGAGCCGCCGTACCTGTCGGGCTCTGGAACAATCAGGATGCCACACAGATACTTCATGTTAATGTGGAGAGACAAAAGAGACGAAGACGTGTTTAAAAATCACATCTAAAGCAAAGGCTGCTCCAAGTAGGGATACTATAAAAGCTACTTTTCTAAATTGATACCTAATCTCAGCAATTTTTTTATTAATAAAAATAAATGGTTTACAGATGCCTCTGTTGTGTATTTTTGACGGATATTTAAAGGGATAAAACTCTTGAATTGAGCTTGAGATGGTTTTTTAACTGTCAAAGCTGATAGATGTCAGTGACTTTGTTTCTCATCTGTTCTTGAGTTTCTCAGATCGGTGAATGATTTCAGGCCTTTTTGTTTACTTGGTGCTGCCAGGCTGCATTTCAGTGGTTCTTTGAAATGTCACTATTGTTCCATATTTTCTCCAATTACAGATGACTGCCTATGTGTTGACCCACAGTATAAATAAGTAATGCATTTAGTTTTTTATTTTATTTTATTTTATTCTTTTAATATGAGATCATTTTGATCCTCACTGTAATGGTGCGTTCACGCCAAACGCATCTGACGCTTCCAGTTCGATTCCTTTTCACTTTGAATGCAGACGCTTGACGTTTTGCTCTACGCCGAGCGTTTCGCGCGTCTGGCTTACGTTCAAAGGTCATGTGAAGGGCGCGTCAGCTTTAGCCGTTGTTTTCCGCTGGACGCTCTTGACGCTCAGAACGCGCTTGGTGTGAACGCACAGTAAGACATGGTCTAAATGATCCCACTGAAGTCTATGACAAATGAATTGGATCCAGTAAATTTGATGGCAGATTAAAACTGATTAAGAATAAATCTGGGTTTTCAAAGTGTTCATTTTTGCACATTTTATCAAAGCAGCTCTTTTAGGTTTTTTTTTTTAGATTTCTTCCCTCTCATAGATTTTTGTTGTTGTTCAGTTTAAGATATATCTGCATTACTGGAGGAAAAAGGTTTGAAATAATATATGCAGGTGAACATTTCATCAATCTTAAAAGCCTGTAATTTTTAACAGGTGTGTGTTCACCTTTGAGTGCTAGTGCAGAGTAGAGAGTGTGTTTTCTGTGTTTGACCCAGTTTGAGGAGAACGAGTCGCCTTCTGAAGGGACTGTGATCGTCTTGTCAACTCTCTTTGATTCCAGAGAGGTACAATCAGACGAGACGAGACGTGTGAACGTGACGTTTGGTCCTGATGATTACGTCGTCTGAATTTTTTTGACTTATAAATCAGGAGTATTCTCATGAACCGATCATTATGCAAATGACCTGCTGAATATCCAAACCAATCATGCAGTGAGTGTAGCGATGAGGTTGTGTTTGATTTAATCAAATAGTTGGCGTTAAATGGGGATTAGCTGATGAATTATGACCGATTAGAGGACCATTTTCCCAACAATTCACATTTATTTAAAATTGATTACGTTAAATCACTATCAAGCAGGATTATAATTCAGTCAGTGATTCTATTGGAGATGATAATATCTCCAGTAGGAGTTTGGCAAAGAAACCCCAACATTAACTTGCAATGACTGATTGTAAAAACCCTCCCAAGGCTCGGTTCGCGTTGTGCAAAGTTTGAGTCCCACAAGACCAACACCGACTCGCCACATTACTGAGCCAAAGCTTTCATTGAACTCACTTTTCTTCTCCTTGTCTTCATTCCAGGCTGGGCTTTTCATTAAGCCAGCCTCCAGCTCAAGACAAATGTAGCTCTGGGTGGCCCCAGTTCTGTCTGTGTGTGTTTGTGTTTGTGGGGGATCGATCATTAGGATGTGCAATTCTGTGTAATTCCAGACGGATACTCGCAAGACGAGATGATTTACAAGTGGAGGAAGAACTCAGTGGAGGCGGCCGACCAGAAGTCCTGGCGTCTGTACCAGTTCGACTTCATGGGCCTCAGAAACACAACGGACGTCATAAAGACGATGGCGGGTAAAGGCCGACGCTTACGACCTGGAGTCGTTTTGTGGACACGCATGAGACGATGGTCCCATCTGAACACCAAAACGCTCCTTCAAGTTGTAAAGATTTATGAGCAGAAATGTCTGCATAGATATATATAAACCAAATATATGAAGGAGATAAGACTAGCATGAATGGTTCACTTTCAGAACTGTATGTCAAATAAAATGAAAAGAGCTTAATTTAAAAATTTTGCACAATATTCACCTTTTAACAAAAAACAATTGGTGTCTAAAGAACTGCATAAAAATGGTCAGACTATAAAATGTTCATGTCGCCGGTGTTTTTCTCTTCTTGGTTTTGAAGAGACGAAAATAAAACAAGTTTGAACGTAGTGATGAAATTTTGAGCTTCACATTTAATCTAACGCTGCAGATAATTCAGTGGTTTCTCAGTAGACTTCCATTCATGTGTAAATACTTTAAAGTTAACTAAATTAGAAAGTGGCTGCATCAAGTTTATTTCTGTCTGACCCTGAATGACATGAATCATGATGTGCTTTTAGTTGTTGTCTGATTTTCATTTGCTCCTTTGCCATTGTAGAGTATTGTTTATGTTGTTGACAAAAAGACAAAGAAAAATTATGTACATAAGACTCGAGAAGAAAAACAGACAAGAAGTAACATATGAAAATAAGACTTTAGCAAAGATGCAGTAAGGTTTTTTTTAAGCATGCTAAAATAGAGCCATCTCTTGCTAGACATAATTCTGTGTTCAGACTATCTGAAATTTCCTCTCATTTTATTTTCACACAAATCTTAAAGTGTTGTGCATATTTTCTTTCCCTCTGAATCCATTTCTTAACAGTTTAAAGATTTAAATGACGGCTCTGTAAAACCCTGATCCAAAACCTTCTGACCACACATTTACTGTCATTCACCTGTCGCACTTTTTTAGTCTTTAGTTTTGGTTTCTGTGCAGAAAGACCCCGATGCCGGAGGGAAACAACGACCTGGCATCTCCTTTCTTTACATTTAACTCTGTAGTTTATGGAAGTTAAACTACAAGTTAAACCAGCCTGACGATTATTTGACCACTAAAGGGCTTAAATGTAAAAAGTTAAAAATAATCTGAAAAGGTTGTGGATAGTGGACACATCCTTGAAAAAAAACATTCATATTTCAAACAGGAGCGCATAATTAGTAACACACATACATCAAAATTCCCTTTTGTTTCCTGTTGCTGAGCTTATTTCTTTCTCAAGACGCAGCAGGACAGGAGCCGACGTGGCCAGCTCTGATCCGGTGACTCTGCAGGATCCTCATGTCTTAATCTGCTCTGTGGTGTTTTGGCGTTCACAGTGGATCAACACGCTGGGCGCAACATGCTTTTCTATTAGGGCGCCGCATTTCTGGACACAGCGCCGGACATTGCTCACGTTTTCCATTAGGAAAAACAAGCAATCTGCATAATCAGAACGACACGTCTGGAAGCTGCAGCAGCAGCATGTGGAACGGAAATGACAAGATTCATATAAATGGTTTGGATTAACACAAACAGTAAGAAAATTTGTGTTTGGTTTGTTACAGGGAAGGTTTTCCCAGTGCGACTCTACTGCTCGACTTTCAGCGTGTGTAATTTGCTCCTTTTTTTATGTTTTTGGTAATTGCCATAATATTTGTAACCTCAGGTGACTACGTGGTGATGACGGTGTACTTTGACCTGAGCAGAAGGATGGGCTACTTCACCATCCAGACCTACATCCCCTGCATCCTCACTGTGGTTCTCTCCTGGGTTTCCTTCTGGATCAAAAAGGACGCCACTCCGGCCAGAACAGCTCTAGGTCATTTATATTTCAGAACATAATTGCAAAATTTCTACATTTTGTTGATTAGCATTTTACTCATCATCTCATATCACTTTACCTTTTTCCAATTAATTTGTTTTTTTCCAGTGCTGCTTCTGTCGTGTTATGCCGTTTTTATTTCTGTGCATGCTCTTTCTGTTGTTGTGCAGACCACTGGCATTTATAAAGGTAAATGATTTTACTTTTCTTCACTATTGACTTTATTAATCATATAATTAATTTCTACGCTCATCTGCAACTGCACTGAGAAAAGGAAATGGAGCTCCAATTAAAAAAAAAAAAGTTCATTTCATAAAATCAAATCAAAGTAAGTTTGTCAAAGTTACTTTATTTACGTTTGTTTAACATAACCTAAATGACATAATAAAAGTACTTTTTAATTTGATTATTTGTGACCAGTTAACACAATATATTTAAGATGAATCGTCTGTTTTGCTTTTTTCAGTGTGTTTTCAAAAGATGAGTTTATGTGTGATCGTATTTATTATTATTATTCGCCATAATACAAGAGCTCGGTCCTGCCAGCAGCCATCACCATCTGCAATAGCGCTTTGAAGAGTTTGGATTAACACGAGCTACAACAACATTTAGTTTCCGTTTGGGATCGTTAAAGTATTCTTGAATTGAATTTGATCTCTGTTGTTTGCTCCATTAGCCAGTACCACCGTTTGTGTGTTGTGTTTTGCCTCGATGCTGTGGCTCCATCATTATATTACACTGGGAAAACTGGGAAAAAATGAAGGAGGAACCTTGGTGCCATCCTGGAATATAAGATACAAATTAGCATCCAGGTGCTGCTAATTGGATGCACTCAATTAAATAATCATCAACAAGTGTGACCGACTCCATACCAGCAGGAGTTTCTGCAGCGTACAGGTGTGTGTTGACAAAATGCCAGCAGGAAAAACATTAGCAAAACGGCTTGGAGAAGAAATTGTTGCTGCCCATCAATCCTGGAAGGGTTATAAGACATTCTTCAATCTATTTGATGTCTATCGTTGGACGCTGAGGAAATATTTAAGTGGAAAACATTTAAGATAGCTGGCTGGCAATCTTTTTGGTAAATTCCCCGCAGATCAGACTGTGTATGTCTGGAGGAGCTCCATCTCTGACGCTATAAGACTTAGTTTGCATGATAAACGTTTAAGTTTCTGACGTCTACATCAGATAAAGACTGAAATATCACCGTTTGCTTAGAAGAGTTGCCAGGAGAAAATCTCAAGCTCAGGTGTGAGAAGTTAGAAGAAGTTGCTTCTAACGTCGTTTTATAAAATATTCTGGTAAATTCAGTTCAGTTGGGGACGAAGTTGCTACATTTTCAGCTTCTGCGTTTCACTGTGTGTGAAATAATCCACAAGAATAGAGAAACCTGTTCCACCTCCTCGCCTGTGGTGGCGCTGCAGTAGGGACGCCTGATTGTAACGACACGGAAACCTCTGAAGAAGTCATGAGCGCAACCTCCCTCTTCACAAATTCTAACCAGGTTTTAGTGTTTGTAAGGATTTCTCTTTCATCTTTTTTCCCGCTAGCACTAGACTCTTAGCGTTTGTTTTGGTTGTATTTACCCAGAATGCCCTGCGCTACAGTCCGCTTCCTGCTTCTGGAGCGGTCTCCGGTCCGCTAAGTGCCTGGAAAACAAAATAACAGAGGCGTTGTCACGACCCAGTCAAAGTCCAGACCTCTAACTGACTGGCTAAACTATTAAATCGATGTCGTATTTAGTTTTTATCACAACTCTTCTGACAGTCTTGATTGTAGGTGGGAAAAAAAATCCTAATCTCTTTAAAGCAGAGGTTCCCAAACTGTGGGGCTCATTGCAGGGGGGGCGCGGGAAGCCGTCTGGATGAAAAAACAAAACAAAACATGAACACTGTATGCGCTGGGTTTTTACCTTAGAATGGCCAACTCTCTGTTATTCCTGTCAGTTTGATACAGTAGAGGCTTCCACACTTCCCATATTTGTGTCCTCTGTAACTTTTATCAGTTAAAACTGTTTATTCCGTTGTTAACATGTTGTAACCTGTTTTTCCGAGCCGCCTTTAAACGCAACATGAGCGCTACGACGCTGGGTTTCCACCTGTGAAGGAGACCTGCTGCTGCTGGGCGGAGCTACGTAGGTTTGTGTTAGAATCACGGCAGCAAACCAGCAAAACGCAAAGAACTTTTCATAGTTTTTCCCTCCAAACTAACCGACTGAGTTGAGTAAAGCTGGTGGATGCAGGTAATGTTAGCTAAAAGATGACTAGCTAATATCAATACAGAACCTTAAGCTTAACAAGTACCTTGTAGGCTACCGATGTCGGTGTCTATTTTCAGCTACGTACATTCATTTTGCCCCCAAAGAAGTCGATGTCCCCCCCGTTCATCCATAGGGGGTGGTGGGCGCAGAAAATGTTTGGAAACCACTGGGGGGGCGCAGAAAAAAAAGTTTGGGAACCACTGCCTTAAAGGATGTTCATCAATTTCAGTGGCACGAGGATGCAGGAGGAAGACAATGACTGCATAAAATGACCAAGGTCCGCAGGTTTACTGAGGAAAATGATTAATTTCCTGTAAGGAATCAGTCAACATGGACGCTACTCAGGTGTTTACCTGCTGCTATGGCAACACCTTGAAATGTTTGCCGCAGCAATGGCAGAAAGGAGGATGAGGGCAATCACAGCTGCAGCCCAGGGATAACGGAAAAGTGTGAGATGCCAGATGGTTACCGTGGGAACGCCAGTGAAACAGTAACAGATGTTTTACTTTTTCCCATCCTGACCGGCGTTAAAACTCTTGAATGGAAAAACTTGAATATAAGAAACTAAAAATCGTTCTCATTAAGTACGTCGATACGAGCTTATCGAGGTTTATAAGGCTTTCAGTTTTCAGCTCTTTAATCAAAACCGCAGCCGGAAACTCAGATCGATCTGAAAAGGTGTACATTTAAAAGGTACTCAGCTCTTTGGACTGTGATTTTGTTCAATTAAAAAAAAAAAAAAAAGGTTATTTTGCTCCAACTGAATGCATTTCTTCCCTTTTTGCTCTCTCAGGGATCACCACAGTCCTCACCATGACCACTCTGAGTAGTGTGGCCAGGACGTCGTTACCCAGAGTGTCTTACATCACCGCCATGGACCTTTTCGTCACCGTTTGCTTCCTGTTTGTCTTTGCTGCCTTGATGGAGTACGCAACGCTAAATTACTACTCATACAGCATTCAGAGGCCGAGCTACATGGAACCTAAAAGGCTGGTGCGTTCGGCCTGAGCGAGATTCTCTATGTGTGTCAGTCAAGCTTTTACTCTGTGGTTTCCAACTAGGATTAAAACGACTTTGTGACTTACGCATCCGTCCTTTAATTTGACTCCCCAGAGGTTGTGGGTGTTATAGCCCAACAGTGGGATTTATATATATAAAATAGAATTACAGCATAACTCAAGCCCCAAATGTTAGGGCTCCTCTCCTTAGGTGGAGCCATTCGCCGAGCTGAAACAAAAATTTATTTATTTAATTATATAAAAGATCTACAGTGTCTATAAAAAGCACTAACCCCCTTGGATGTGCTATCTTTGTATTGCTTTTAAAATCAATCAACAAAATTTGGCTTTAAGGACAAAAACAAAAAAAAAACTAAACTAAATCCCCTTTAATACAGAAGCTGAAAAAGTATGTTCTCCTCATACTTTTTCCCAACGGTTTTTGTTGAGTTAATTTCCCGACGATTTTCTCGAGATAATAAAAAAACCAAAGTTTGTTTTTTCGAGATCGCGAGATGCTTGGTGTTTATGTTGAGTTTGATTCTATCCTTCAAATTCATGTCGTTTGAGTTATTGAGATTAACTCGACAAAACCATCGGGAAAAGGGAAATCACGTAAAACTGTCAAAGTGAAAATTGATTTCTACAAAAAAAAATATGATGAATAAATAAATATTCAGTGATTGGATAAATTGATGTATTAGGTAATGAAAGATTGAAAGTTGAAATAGAAACATTCAACATTCATTTTTGGATCAGCAGCAAGTCTTTGGTTTATAATTTAATGTAACAATCATTTGTTGTCATACCGTCATTAAGCTCAATTAATTCAGAGCAAATTCATTCAGTTTAAAGTCTACATTTCTGCAAAGATGAGAACTTCTAAGGCAAAGGGGAATATGAATCTATATTCCCAGTAGAACGTAAATTTCATTTAGACATTTATTTTTTACCTCAGACTTCCACCTATAACATCATACAGCACAAATTCCTCCGTCATCCACCCAGACAGCCCCACTTTTACAACAGTGAAACCTCGCCCACTTAGGAGACACAAGGTCTACGCCGTAGCGCTTCATGCCATTAGTGCATGTAGTGATTTATCATTGTGTCGGTGTCCAGACCGTAAGGACTCGTCCTTTGGGGATTCACTACAGACCGTAGCATACAGTCAGCATTGAGTTTTTCCAACAAGAGTAAACAAATGTCAATTCTTGAAGCTGCAGAATCGTGTTATTATTCTGTCAAGATAAAATGCAACTCCAAATTACAGATGTTTCTCTCTGAAGCAAGATTACAGGTAAAGTGGGGATAAAATATAATCTCAGATTAAATTAATGAATTGCAAAAAATTTGTCTCAGTTGCTTGAAGCTTTTCTAAGAATTCAGTGCTATTCAGTTTTTATTAGTTCTGAGACTGCACCACAGCAGGTGTGCTTCAAAATTTGGGTACTTTTTTGTTGTTATGTTTTGAGTAACTAAAGGGATTAAATTAAAATATGCTCCGTCTGTCCTGATTTGTAAATAATGTATTTTTTCGTTTGTTGTTCATTTAATGTAAATATTCTTGTTTTGCTCATCATTCTGCAGTTGTGCATTCCCAGAAATGGTTTCTCCGATTTTAGTTCTACCCGTCTCAGGGTTTCCCTCTGTGTATTATAAGCCTGGTGAGCCACCAGGCTTTACTTGTGCCCCCACCAGGCTAAAGCATTGCTTATTTAAGTTTTTTTTGTTTTTGTTTTTGTTTTTTTAATGTTTCCAATTTTTAAGACTCTTTGTTCAGGTATTAATTATCCAATATTTTAAGGACACTTAATTATCAAGTGATATTTTCATGTTTCCTGTCAACTTTAAACATTTTTTAACTCAAAAACACAGCTGGCCGACGCTTGGCAAGTTTTCAGGGGGAAACCTTGCAGTCTTTAAGCAGTCTGTCATTCATTGGTCATGGTTGGTCTGGTTTGGTATTCTGTTGCACTAAAATTAAAGATTGAGATCAGCTAAAACCTCCATGACAACCATGTGACGGTCCTGACCAGGATGAAACTCTACAGACTTAACAAACGTCAGTACCCACTGTATGGAGAGTTGGTCCAGTGTTAGCTAGGCGGGGAGGGGAGTAGGCACTGCGAATAACAGAACTGTCCATTTCCCTGGAAATTCAATGTATTTTTTTAGCTGCGAAACATTCAATCTAATTTTACAACATCTTGTGTTTCAGAACTTCTCTGTGCTGGATGTGAGACCTCCTCCGCACACCGTCATCGCTCTAAACAATGCCATGTACTGGCAGGAGTTCGAGGACGCCTGCGTCTACGAGTGTCTAGACGGGAAAGACTGCCAGAGCTTCTTTTGCTGCTTTGAAGAATGCAAAGGAGGCGCCTGGAGAAGAGGAAGAGTCCACATAGACCTACTGGAACTGGACGCGTACTCGCGTGTGTTTTTCCCCACGTCCTTCTTGCTGTTCAACATTGTGTACTGGGTCGGATATCTCTACCTTTAGTACAACACACTCGGCAGAAAAGTCAGAAAGTAATGGGTTTTAGTAGTGATGTAAGGAACTACGACAGCAAATAAGCTGTTCAGAAGGAGCTACCTGGATAAGAGAGCAACATCCAGCCTGTTTCTGCAGGTGGAGGTTTCTTCTGTGGAGACATTAGGCGTGATGGTCCAGCACAGCAGAGTTTCCCCTGTGTGTGCTGTGTCGACTCAGAAAGGACTGTGAAGACAAATGGGCAGCGAGCCGCACACCGGGACCCCAGTCTGCTCAGGCAGGTAGACGTCTCTGTGCTGTAGGAATACTGTTATCCAGCCGTCGGTCGAGTCGAGCTGATGAAAATCCAAGGACACACAAACCGTTCCTAGTGCCTTCCTTTGGAGGGGTAGATACCATCCGTAACAATAATCAGGGAGTTATCATTTATAGAGTAAATCGGAAGAGCCTGGCTTTGACTGATTATCAATAAGTTTATGAAGTAGTCACGTGGTACAATAAACACACTTATTATTGCAATACTTTCACTGTTACTTTCAGCTATTTGATGGGACTAGCTATGAGGTGTTACTCGTATCAAGGTTTTACATTTTTGGTTTGCAGTCCTTTTAAAACCTTTTACTTCTAAATTTAAAATGTCCACCTGGATATTTTTTTTACTTATTTTAATTCTATGCAGTTCTTTAAATGTCCTGTGACTAAAACAATTACTGTAGTAACCCGATATTGGCTGGAAAGCGCAATGTCTCCCCTTTCAGAAGCAAAAGTTGGAATTTTGTCAGATAGAACTACGTGTGGTAGAGTTAAGGTACTGCAAGTTCGGCTGGATCACTGGCGCTCCGTTTAGGACTTAAAGGTTTATATGCCAGACAAAGTTCCAGAGCAATGTGTGTTTTCTCTGACTGTGTGCATCATAGAAAAATGCAGCTTGTCCCCTCCCCCACCTGTTACTGCACACTGCAGCTGGTTGAACGAAGGCTGCTACCATTTTGCCTCTGCCTTCACAAAGTAAGACAAACTCGACCGCTTAGAAATATTTCTGGACTTGAAAAACACCCAACACCATATGATCCGGTCGGCGTTCCAACCTTAGCACCTCATTTGTTAGACTTGATATATTTATTGGGTGTTTATTCTATAAACTATACTCATAATTATAAGTACTTCAGCAGAAATATAAATAATTGTTGCTTTTCTATTTACGCACAAGCAGTTATGTCAAGTTTTATATTTTGTAAATTTTTTTTTTTTACATTACAACGATGAATGACACGTTCTGCCATTTTTACTCTCGATTATAATCCATGTTAGTAGCTCTGTTTGTTGGTTTGTTTCTTAAAGGTTAAAGGTTAAGATTTTTAAGGTATATTGGTTTTAAACATGTTAATTTAAGGCAGATGGATGGACGCCATGCTAGTGTCGACTCCATATTTCATTCTGTGAGGTGTTGATGTAGGTTTTCATTGTATTTAGGTTTGTAATGTCAGTTTCTTTCTGGCTTGTTTTCTTATAGGGATCATTTATTTAGTTTAGTCTGTTTCAGATAAGGATAACTTGCCTTAAAACAAATATATATAAATGTTTAGTCTGAAAATGGTTTGATATCATGCAGTTCCTCTCATCAAATGTGACCAAGAAGTACAAAAACACACTTGTGACTTACAGCCACCTTCAATATTTATTTTTTTACAAAAGCAAACCTCCTTACTGTAAAGTTCAAACCTTGTTTAACCTCCTATTTCACAATCTCACATTGTGTTTTCATTGTATACCAATTGTAACTCATGCAACACAAACATACACACATACACACATCCACAGACACTCACACACACTGAAATAAATAAGTAAGGAATTATGTTAATCTGTTCAGCATATTAGGTTAAATCTAATAGGATTATACATTATCTGTGGGCCCAATCACGTTTATTGGGCCTCATCGTTGTCGCCTCCTAATTTGCTTGGATGCAAACAACTGACAATTATCCTGATGAGGTTTTGCCACATTTGGAGATTGAATGATTGTTTTAATATAAACTGGTTATATAGCAATTTAATTTTCCTATGTTCTCACTCGACGCTGAGTGGGTTACTTTAACCCACTCAGCTGATTTACCTCTGAAAATAACTAGGGAGCCGAGTGTCTTTTTTAACAAATCGTGCTTTTTGCTACAGCCAGTAAACTTTATCACACCACTAAAACACACAATCTTGCTAAGTATTTTGGATCTAGGTTCTAGTGCAAAAATGTTAGAACGCTTAAAATAAAATAAAACTAACTTAAAAGTAACTTTTCAGCTTGTTTAAATATTGATGACCAAGTACTAGTTTCACTGGCAGATTATTTTACTAAAAAGACATTTTTCCCATGTTATAAGTGAAATAATCTGCCAGTGGAACTAATACTTTATTATAGATAAATAGTAAGGAAATATTGACCTAAAACAAGCTCCTATATCTTGCTGAAAATGTACTTTAAGTTAGTTTTGTCTTGTTTTAATGTTCTAACATGTTTGCACTAGAAACTAGATCAACAATATTTTGTTGACTGTCTTTGTTTTCCTGTCAGTTGTTTCACACAAGTGCCACGTCGTTTCTTTGCTGGTAGAGGAAAATCTTAAAACCCCGACGTCTACCAGGTTCTGAACTCCAACAGAACCTGGCAGTACAGCACATCCTGTACTGCACACAGTACAGGATGCGCGCAGCGGCCGGTTACCGTGGCAGATTTAAAGCTAATGACTCCCTGCCTCTCTTTTTACTCCTAGAGCTAGCATCACTGCATGGAGACTGATTAACTAATCAAACTGTAGCTTTATGCAGTCGATGTGAAACTGAGTGGTCACTGTTACGTGACTGGAGGAAATCGCCGCACCGACAGAGGAGGGCAGAGTGGCTGCTGATCAACAAGATGCTGAAAAGTGTAATGAAAGTGTGATTGCTCATTCAGCCTGACAGCAGCACTTCTGTTTTGTTCCTTTGTTTGGCATTCAGGCTGATTAATAGATTGCATAACCCGTCACATTAGGCATTTACACGGCTGTTATTTGAATGCAACACTGTGCTTTTAATGCGTTTTGCTTTGTTACAGATGTTTAGTCTTCAAACTGTTTGTAGGATGAAGATTTGTCCAATAAGGCGTCCTTCGAGGTGCTACGCTTGTCGTTAGAGAGATGGTTAAAAAAGAAACTGAAATGAGGGTAAAAGGTGTCGGCAGTATCTTATCTTCATTCTACAGAATATAAATCATGATTAAATGGACCCAGAGGTCGTTGCTAACGGCTCGTCTGATAATGGCTGAAACCACAGCAGACTCCTACCACTGAAAACAACTCCAGTCTTTAAAAAAACACATTGATAATTTATGCTAACACTACTTTAACATTTAAATTTGTTGATCATTTACACAGCAGCCGATGATTATTCACAGAGGAAATAGAGGTTTGGGGTGACATACACATCAGATACATTGTCCATATATCAATATTGTAGATACAATTTTAGTCATTTTAATCTCTTCAGCTCTGTACCTGTAAATGGTCTCTTCCTACTTTGATTTCATAACTGTAATTAAACTTTTTCATCACCTAAAGACCTTCCACACTTCAAAAACACAAAATCTTACCACGTATTATTGGTTTAGATTTCTATACTTGATGAAAAAGTACAGTCTGTTGACTCATTGATTCACTTATAACAATAAATAATATACCAATGGGAAAAAAAAACCTTTTCCTTCAATATTAAGCAATTATTGACTTAAAACAAGTTTCTATATTGTGCTGAAAAGTTACTTGTTAGTTTTATCTTATTTCAAGTTTACTAAGATATTTGCACTAGAAACCACACCAATAATATTTGGTAAGATTTTGTTTTGGGTTTTTTTTTTTTTTTTTTTTTTTTTTTTTTAAGCTTATTAA